TCCCTTTGTCCTGCCTGGCTGCCCCTGCCTGGCTGATGTCTCCTGCTGCCAGGGGGTGACAGCAGGGTGGCCTGGGGGGACATGGCCACACACTGAGCCTGAGCTCACCTGCGCACCTCACCTTGGAGAGCAGGATCACCCCAGCTCAGGCAAACACGGGCCAGCGGGGAGAAGGAGATGAGCCCCAAGGCGGCTGCGGGCAGTCCCACAGTCCTGCCTTGTTTCCAGGAGCCTCCCAACATCTCGTCCTGTGCTTCCCCGCGTAGCTCCGGGCCATCCTCCCTCCCCAGCCGGGAATCTTCCCTGTCGCCTTGTTTATCCCCATTAGTCACACATCCCCTCCCGCCGGCTCTTGCCCTCTCTGGGCCATCCCAATTTAGCTCCTGTTGTCACTCCAGATCTCCCAGCTGCCTCCCACCATCGAGCCAGCCCCACGACATCAGCTCTGGGGATCAAGCGTGTGGTGGCCTCGCAGCCTCCCTTCTCCTCCAAGGGGCCTGGGGACGCTGCCCCCAGCATCCACCCATGCTGTGGCCAGACCCTTCCTGGGTGCCCGCACGAGCCCCGGCGAGAACAGCGCAGGGACCTGGCCTCCTGGGGTGAGGGGCATCATCTGGGGTGGTGACGAGTCCTCGCCACCCCCTTGCTCACGGGGAGATGGCCAAGGAGGTGACGGCAGGGGGACCCTGCGGTGCAGGAGCACCATGCGGGGCTTGGAGCGAGGGCTGCGCGGGCAGGGAAGGGCACAGCGCAGAGGAGAGCAGCGGCGAGCCCCAACGGTGACCTCCATGGTGAGAGGGCTGCGTTTCTGGCTTGGGCTACTGGTGCCTGAACGGGGCGGGGGGAACCCAAAATGCCTGGCAAAGGGCAGCGAAAGCCTGGCCCAGCAAGGAAGGGAGAGCTGCCAGAAATCCTAGCCCATGACTTTTTTTGCTTCAGGCAGTGCCCCAAGGAGCCGGTGCTCGGCAGGCGGGCATGGAGGCACATGCCCTTCCCTGCAGAGCAGCTGGAACAACCCAAAATATCCCACCGCGCACCGCCAGGTCCAAAAGGAAGATGACAAACAGGGCTGCAATGAGAAGGAAATACTGTCCGAACCTTTATTGGAACCCTTTTTCTAACCAGGCTAACAACTCAAATACGCCAGGAAGACTAAAGAATACAGTTACGCATTTCGATGGAGAGCAAAGGGGGTTTTACAACGAAGTCAAATGAACAGATGCACCGGTGTCGTTTGGTAACGAATCGACCAACAGGCGAGAAAGCAGAGACACCGCTTCCCTGGTGCCTTGGCTTTTGTCCTGGATCTCATTCCCTGGGTTGCGAAGGTGGAGAGCTGCCCCCGGGCTGGTGAGGTGTTGTTCTCTAGGCAACAGCCCAAAAGTCGGGATGCTTGACCGAGAGGCTGTTGCTACAACAGCAGATGTACCGGTGCCGTGGAGACCCTCCCAGGCATGTGCAAACTTCCAGGCAGCAGCAAAAGTCATGAGAATTATTTATCCTCTGCTAAAGAGGTACTAAAACCCCACTGGACACTGAAGGTCAAAGTCTTCACTCAGGCGCCTGAACCCATCCCTTTCTCAAACAAACACCATGATAGCCCCACGGCTGAGTGCCCCACGGCTCCTGCCCAGCTCCATGGGAGAGCCCAGCGCTGGGCACTTGCCTGCTGACACTGGAGCCACGTCCACCCTTGGCCAGCCGGGCAGCTCTGCCCACGGAGCACAAACACCTCCTGCTTGGGTGAAGAGACAACGGCTGTGGCGTCGGTGGAATGGTACTGGGGCAGGTCGTGATTTTTTGCACAACCCACGCTTTTTTTCAAAGCTAGGGTAGATGCCTGCAGCCAGCTCGGGCTCG